TACCCCTTGGTAGCTCACACTCCTATTTTTTTGAACAGCGCGATTCAGTGACCAACACAGATTTGAACTCATAACATTGGAAATAATGTAAACAGCTGAAGTTTACGCTTCGTGTTTTACTCGAGGAATACCGTTAGAAATATTTGTAAAAAAGTGCTTGACGCTCATGTTCTGACACGATAATTTTTTTGGGTTAAATATTTTTCTCAGGGGTACTCCTATTGTTTTGAACACAGCTGTACATACGTACATATCTACACTCAGTTTGGCATTGCTGTCCGTTTTGGCCAAAACAACTTGTTTACATAGTGAGTTGTGAACAGAACATGCAATGGAAACCTTGAGCACGCTGTAACTATTCGCCTTGTTGTTATTTATTGTTAAGATTACTTGATTGAGAATGGTGAAAACAAACGCAGCCGTGACCGTTAGCAACGATAATGTCACATTTTGACTTTGAGGCAGACTCTATTTGAAATTACAATATTCGGTGACATTGGAAGAACTCATTGCATTCTGGGTGAGTAAGAAAAGGTTACAAAGTGTTAAAAGTGTTTGGCATGATATATGTAGTTATAACGGGTGATCCAATTATAAGTTTCCTACTTTTTTTAAAGAAAAAAAAAAAACACGGAAACCTTCAAATTTAATGGGGAATGATTATTATCACTCGAAAAACACTCTTTGGCATCTATTTTTTTTGGAGATTATCTCTTTCAAATGTTGAGCGCGGCTACGTCTCAGATGGCACATCCGATGAGTCCAATTTTCGACAAACTCATTCTAGCATTTCGACTGGTTACTGGCGAATGAAACGCGTTATGTTTTGCTCCAAGGCTTGAATCGAAGCGGGATGGTGCCCATAGACTTTAGACTTTGCATATCCCCACACGATCTTGGTGACCAATCTACCGGCCCAAAACGTGAACTTATGTATCTGTTCACCAAAGTGTTCTTTCAATAAATCCATTGACTCATGCGATGTGTGGGAAGTGGTGCCGTCTTGTGGAAACCAAATGTCACCGAGATCACAAGCTTCAATTTCAATCATCAAATTGTCGGTTGCCTTGGCGCCATAATGGTCACCATTGACGGTTACGTTCTCATCGGCATCATTTTTAAAGAAATATAGACCGATGATTCCACCGACGCACAAACCATATTAAACCGCTTTTTTTTTCTGGATGATTTGCTAGCTCTTGAATCTTTTCAAGTCGCTCTTCGTCCCAAATGCGGCATTTTGGCTTGTTTACATACCTTTTGAGGCCCAAGTGGGCTTAATTGCTGAACAAAATTTGGCTCGAAAACGTCCGATCTTCTTGAAACTTTTCAAGAATTCATAGAACGAAGCGATGTCGCATGGGAAGTTCGAGTGGTTTCAGTTCTTGTACAAGCTGTATTTTGTAGGCGAACGCTTGTTGCGAATAGTACGCTCAGAAGCCGATTATGTTGACCATAAGTTGAGCGAAGCGCGCGAAACACATTCTTTAGAGAAGGTGAATTTTCATAATAAAGTTGAACGATTTGTAAATGCTGTTCAGACATAAGTCTTTCCATGATGAAATGTTAAACAATACAGAACAAAAATAACATGACAGGTTGACACCACTTACGGTGTGCGTGATCACTCGTTATAGTTGAAAACATGAAAGATTTCTGAACATTTGCTAGTTCCTAGTTTGTACGGGAGACTGTGAATCTACTACAGCAAATTACAAAGCAGATGAACTCCCTATGCAGGTCACCTTTCGCCCAATTTCATCCGATTGGAAGCGAGTCGGATTTTTTCCGATTGTCCTTTTGCGTTTTGACTTTAAGCCTCCAGTGAGGTCAGTAAGCGCTGGTCAACAACCAGAATTTGTACGACTGCGAAGTGCGTGTGGCCTTCGTCAGTCTGGAAAAACGTAGAAAAGAAGAGTGCATACTTAGTAATCGAAGGACCCAAAAATAGTTACGCTGAAATTCTGCGTAGAATTCAATACGAATATAATGTCCAAATAACCAAGAGAACATTTGCCGGTTTTTGGTCAAACCTGGACTTGATGGGTAGCACGTAGGAAATCGCTTCTGACCAAAATTCAGAGGAAACAACGCGTAGACTTTGCCAACACTTATCGGTCTTGGACAACAAATCAATAGAAGTAAATTGTTTGGAGCGATGTAACTAAAATTAATCGCCTAGGTACTGATGGTCGAAGGTACATATGTTCGCCTTTCAATCAGTGAAATATTTGATTCTCGGTAAGTTTCACTCCTAGTGAAGCATGGTGGAGTATCAATCATGCCATGAGCTGAGGAGAATTTGCCTGTTATATGGCGATTCCAACAAAGTAACGATCCAAAGCACACGGCAAAGTTGACACCACGGTTTTTACCGGGATTGCTTAAGCACCCAGTTGCCGGAAATGTGGATCAAAGGGCCTTGACCCATAACCTTCTAGCAGCTAAACCTTCCCCAGCGCTGCTCGCACCTTTCAGACCCAGTTGAGGAAGCCCTCAAGTGCGCTGCCCGGCCAGCTGTTCATACATACTAACATATATTTGTATGTATGCAGGTTTTACATATAGTACGATGGTAGCCCGTGTGGGCGTGTTGCTATCAAATTAATGCGCACACACAATTGCTGGCGACACGACGGCATTCACAGTGCCTGCGCGCACATTACATGGCAGATTACTTAACTAATCGTAAGCGAAGTAAACAAATGCACACACACGCACAGACATGAATAAATGTTTTTAGATCGCAACAAAGTAAAAGTTGAGCACCGAAAATCTTTCAAAAAACCTTGACTTGATTTCGCTAATTTCGGCTAAGAATGAGTAGAGCAACCAATAAAGCATTTAAATTATAAAAATAACAACAAGAATGCATAAAAATGCCAGAAAATGTATGCAAGCTGCGCCAGTGCAAACAAACACCAATGTACACTAACAAAAACAACAAAAAAACAGTTGTCTGCATATTTGTTGCACACTTGTCGGTCCAAGCAGCGTCCTCTATATGTATATATATGTATATGTATGTATGTTAGACAGCCAACGCCAGCACGCTGCACTGTGATAAACGCGACAGATAAACAACACAGGCGAAATCCTCGCTAATCGCTTGCAATTAATTGCCGCAAACAAAGTGATTAAATTTGAAATTTATCATATTTATTATTAGGCGCAACACAAACTTTTATTATTTAACTAAAACACTCACACTAAAATGTGTAAAATAATGATTTTCCACATTGAAGTCTTGGGTCCGACGAATTTAGCCGCCACCCACACCTTGATTATTTGCGCCATGACAGCACAGTGTCGCAGCTTGGCTCGCAGCGAAAAGGAAAAAAGAAAGAGGAGAGCGGAAAAATTGTCTTGCTTGCTACATACAAATGCTCGGCCTGCGGCACTACAATAACAAAAGCGCATCATTGTAAAGCGGTGACTGATGCCAAGGGGAAGTGGTTCGAGCACAACAACACAAATGCACAGCGCCGCCACAAGACATACGTACGTATAGAAGGTGTGCGTGAAATTCTGTGACATATTTTAAAGTTTTATGGTCGTTACATGCCATAAATTCTTCAGTTAGCACATTTTCGTCGCATTCGCTCGGTATTGGTTTAGAACGTGCGCTTCTTCCACCTCAGCTGACGCTCTGCATCTTTACACCTTACTGCCGCCCTTTTTCGATTTCTTTAATTTTCGCTTTGCTCCTGCACGGCAATTTGTTTGTCAACGAAACAGCGAAACATCCGAGCAACACGACTTTACTGGAATTTCTATTTTGGTGCGCGTTGGAGGAAGCTGTCGCGCATTATTGATGATCTGCCTTAGTGGGTCATTAAAAGGCGCTTTGAATATACTTTAATGGTGGAACATTTTTGTTTTTACAATTATTTTTAGATGCTTAATTCAATTAGAGGTTTAAAGAAAACTATTGCTTGGTTTTACTGTTGTGTATTCAACCTAACTAAAATTTTGCAGTGGTCAATTTTTTATTATTCAAATTTCCTAAATTATAAATTTATGCTCTTAATCGGAGGGTTTTAAAAATTTCAGCCTAATCTTTAGTTTGGCACCTTTACATATTGACTAAATTAAGAGGAAATTTGCTAATTGAGTAAATGAACAGAAAATTTTGCTGATATACAAAATTTGTATGTCAACCGATTAATATCAAGAAATAATTTGCTAATTGACTAAATTAAGAAAATAGTTCATAATTGACTAAATTAAGAGGAAATTTGCTAATTGAGTAAATGAACAGAAAATTTTGCTAATATACTAAATTTTTTATGACTAAATTAAGAAATAATTTGCTAATTGACTAAATTAAAAAACAGTTTATAATTGACTCAATTACAAAGAAATTTGCTAATTGAGCAAATGAACAGAAAATTTGCCGATAGACTAAATTAAGAAAACAGTTTATAATTGACTCAATTACAAAGAAATTTGCTAATTGAGCAAATGAACAGACAATTTGCTGATAGACTAAATTTGACTAAATTAAGAAATAATTTGGCAATTGACTAAATCTGATCTCAATCTCAAGGCACACAACCAATTTGACAGCCTGGACAACAACCGGTAAGAATGCAAACAATTTGGTAATTGACTCAATTACAGAATTGCTTGCACAGCATAGGCAAATGTAAATACCGGATTCTTCAAAAGAGATGATATGATTTCTCAGCGTCGTTTCGGCTATTTTTAATACGTCATGATGTATAATTGTTTTTCATTGTATTCAGTAATGTTAACAATTTCATCATGGAAAGAAACGCTAAAAGTTAAAGTTACAATTTTTTTTCCCGAAAAATGCGCGTTTTCGTCAAGTCACACTAGTTCCCTGTGGGTGTTTCTTTGACAGTAATACATATGCTATATATCAAATCATTGTTTTGCTATTGCAAATGAGGGAAGAAATGTAAATTTAATATTATGTCTATGGAACATTACATGATCAACTCACTTATACTTTCTTCTTTTCCATTTCTTTGCAGGTGAGTTTATTTTCGATATAGCGAGGCTTGTTTCCTGGAAAATCGTAAATATTTACTTAAGTTATATATACTTGTATATTAAGTTGCTTAAAACAAATTGGTCCTGTCATACCTTTAAAGCGTTATCCATTTTAAGGTTGCCTACTTTTTTTTTTAGAGAAAAAGCATGTAAACTTAAAATTTAATGCGGACTGTTTATTATCATTCGAAAGAACACTCTTTGGCATTTATTTTTTGAAGATTATCTTCCTCAAATGTTGGCCGCGGCTACGTCTCAGATGGCACATCCGTTGAGTCCAATTTTTGCTCACCAAAGTGAGATCCTTTGATTGATGCCATGTGTGCGAAGAAGAGCCGTCTTGTTGAAACCAAATGTCGCTGAACAAATTTTTGGCTCGAAGACGTCGGACCTTCTTGGAACTTTTACAGAGCCCATAGAGCGAAGCGTGCTGGACGTGATCTATTTGGTCGAAGGTAATCCAATAATCAATGCTGGATCTCAAGACGGGTGATGCTATTGCGAATAATACGCTCAGTAGGCCGATTATGTTGACCATAAATTGAGCGAAGCGCGCGAAATAGATTCTTTATAGAAGGTGAACGTTGTAAACAATATTGAGCAAAAATAACATCACAGCTTGATACTATTCACGCTTATACTTTTTTTGACAGATAAAAGTATATTGTAAAAAGTATATCTACCTGGATCGCCCGTTATGTATAGAACATGATCATTTGTGTTTGAATAATCACTCAAGTAAATTGGAAAAATGCCATTTCGGGAAAAATGCGTTTGAAGATACCTTAATCGGTAGAGCTGATTGAACTGAGCGACTGCACTCTAGAAGGCTGTAAATCAAAAACTATTTGAGATATCGATTTAAAATTTTGGTATATTGATTTTGAAGGTATAATGTAAGGATATATTGTATGAAAAAATCGACTCTAGGTGCGCCGCTTAAAAGGCATTAAAGTACCGCTTGTGCATTGGTGGGTTAAGAAGCAAAGCTACGCTATCGATATGGAAAGTCACTAGCACATGCTTGACTGCACCGGCCCGAAACTAGCGCTGTACTCTGCTTCTTAATTGTTGCTGTTGTTGTTGTGTTTGCAGCATATATGTTTCGTTCCGTTAAATTGTATTCCACGCATAATTACCAAAATATTTGAAGAAAATTTGCAGTCTAGAGCAACATGTGAGCACAAACAAGAAATTAGCCTTTCATAAACAAACAAACAAGCAATTATGAGCGCTTGACTCGCATGTCGTCCGCACGCAGTCACGCAAATACAAACACACACCCGCACACATAAGCATGTAAATATGTGTGTTTGCCTACACTTGTGGTGGCATATGACAACTATGACGGCGGAGAATGGCATAATATTAACAAAATATTGGAAAAAACAAACACAACAACAACACGGCAAAAGTAGTAAAAGCAACAGCAGCAACAACAACAATCAACAAAAGTTATAATGAAGTGCTGTTGTGTCCGCATGTCATCGGTATAGAATGTGCAGTTATGTTTCGATATATACACATACATATACATATGCATGTAGAAATGTACGCTTCATGTCGTGTGGTAGCACAATAATACTTTCATGGTTGCTCCCGATTTTGCGGATGTGCCAACTGTGGCACGATTGGCAGTGGTGGCGTCCAACGAAATGCCAAGCATGAGCAACAGCGCCAGTGGACAGTGTGTGTATGTGTGCCAACAACGGTCTGCTCGTTGCGACCAAATGCTGTTGTTGCCATTGCTGTCCATTGCTYTTGCTTGCTTGTTGTTGTTGTAGCATTACTCTCACTGCTGTTAGCTGCTGTTGCTGCGTCTAGTTTGGGGGCGTTGTTGATAAATTGAAAACATTTGCCCGCAATCTGCCACATGAAGGCTACGTACCGGTCTTCCACAATCACACACACACACACACACACACATACACGCATTCGCTGCTTGTACCTATGTATTTTTTGTATGAAGCAACATTACCTGTTCGCACTGCAATTGCTAGCTGACTAACTGGCTGGGGCAATCTGGTCACATTACTGGCGAAATTGCTATGGCAAAGATGCTATGATTTCACTGCATTTCTCCGGCAACTTCTACTTGCCACAAAAGCGTATGCGTGCGGTGGCAGCAAGTTTGGAGTAAAAAGAAGTTGTTGAAGTTGGTTTTCTACATTGGATATGTACATATGACTATATATGTATAAATATGTACATATAAATATATAATATATATGTTTATACTTAGCTAAACTAGCGTTTGCTGTTAGTTGTGCCACAAGTGTGCTATAAATTGCTAATACTGAACTTTTTTATACAAATAAATCACATGATTGCCTTATTGACGGAGTAAAGTGAATTAGCATTTTCTGGAAATAAATTGAAATCACAACAAGTTAAGAAGATCTAAATAGGGCTGCAGAGGAACATTTTATACGCTCGCAATATGCAAGGATCAAAGCCGTGAAAAATGTTTAAATTGTTACAGCTATATTTTATAGATGTCCGATCTGAAACATTTATTTGAAGATTGTAGCCTCACCTTTGACAATAAGCTGTACCAAATAAAAAAATTTTCCATACAAGAACCGTTTTTTTATCATTTGTTTATTAAACTTAGAAGAGTACAAAAATAGTAAAATTTCAAAAAAAAAATTCAAAAAAAAAAATAAAAAATCAAAAAAAAAATTCAAAAAAAAATTCAAAAAATAAAAATTTAAAAAAAAAATATAAAAAAAATTAAAAAAAATTAAAAAAAAAATTTTTTCAGCGAGTTATGCGTCCTTGAAGAAAAGGGGGGAAAAGAGGCCGTGTCCTCAGCGCCATGATTTTTACCCTTCTCGTCATCTGAAAAATTAACAATGTCAGATTCAAAATTCATAAAATGGCGGCTTTCAATTTTTCAATTTTGTCGATTTTTTGAAAAATATTATAAACTTCAAATTTTTATTTTTTGTTGCTTCTAGTGATAGAGATATATTTAAAGAATATTCATGCCAAATTTGAAATAAATCGACTGATTAGCACTTGAGATATTGTGGCTACCGCATCAAAAAAAAGGAGTTTTGAGAAAAACGCGTTTAAAGTTTTACGTTAAGTTTTGGGCAGCGTAATAGATAGATAGCTCGCTCAACCGGTCTAGTTGCCACGTCACTAAAATGGCTATAACTTTGAAAATAATACGAGTTTTTAGGGAGATCCTTTTAGGGAGATATTTTTGAATATCAAAACTATCGAATTATGAAAAAAAAGTTTCGATTTTTTCACATTTCTAGACTAGAATACCCCCTTAATTTTGATAAGGCCGTTTGTATAGAAGCTCTGTGCTATAGTGATAATATATCGGCGATTCCGATAAATCAGCAATTTTTTACGGAGAAGTGCTTGTGTGAAAAATTTCAAGGCGGTACCTCAAAAACTGTGGGATTAATTTCTGTGCATACAAAAGGGCATAACATAATAGGCCCGACCCGCCACGCTAGGAAGGTAGGTTATAGGGTCTCCGATATTTCTTTCTGGACGTTTCAAGTTGACACGAATATATATATGTTAACTATATATATATTAATACTATACACTGGTATTTAATATCTAAAGGGCTCTTGAATATATGGAATACGTTCCTGGGTCATTCCTGGACATATCTGGAACGTTTAACAATGTCTCTACGGAATATATTCTGAATAGTATTCAGTCAATAGGTGTTGATTCTGCTGAAGAAGCCTTTTGATCTCTAGACGGATAAGAGCAGAATGGAACGACGCTAAAATGACCAAGTCTGTAGAGGTACTCCGCAAGGTGAAGTGCTGTCTCCGCTTCTATGAACATTAGTGGTGAATAAACTGCTAAGGAACTTGGACGGCAAGTCTCTTAAGATAATGGTATACGCGGACGACATTTACGGGTACAATAGCGGGTAGGTGTCTTCAGACCATTAGCAGTATTACGACCACCACTCTCAATATTCCAGAATTAGGCATCGCAAGCGGGTATGGCATTGAACACGGATGAAATGGATCTGCTTCTGTTCACAAGACAGCACAAAATTCCTCTATGGAGATTCCCTTCGAGAAATGGGACACAACTCCCTCTCAAGCAGCGCACCAAGTACCTTGGGGTAGTCTTGTACAGCAAACTGCTGTGGAAGTACAACGTGAAAGAAAGAAGGAAAGAAGCTAGCATTTCTTTATATTGGTGTAGGCAGATGCTCCGGACAATTTGGGACTCTCTCTCATACACTGGTGCTACACTGCTATTGTAAGACCAATTCTGCTCTACAGTGTAGTAGTATGGTGCACAGGCCTACGGAAATCCACTTATAGCCCTCTTCACTGAAAACTGCGCAGCAGAATCGGCGGGACGACTACTGGCTGTAGAAGAATGTAGATATAGAACCTCCAGGTATGGCTCGGTGGGTAATGGTTGGGCAAATAGGTAAGGCATGGAGGACAATGAAATAATGGAAGTGATTGCCAAGAATGGTGTGCTGCTAATACCCGAAAAAGTGATCAACATTAGGAAACTCATGCATTAAGGTCATGGTAACTCACAATTTCAAGGTCATAGCGCATTCGGTCGATTTATTGTCCAATTTTTAATTTTTGAACAAGCCGCTTCAGCTGCTATGGTTCATAATTTTGGCAGAACTCTTTCGAGTTATTTTAGCACCACTCCATTTTGATTATTTGAGATCTTGGAACACCAAGAACTTGCGCTTAGTATGATGCCTGAATGTGTCTATCTCATGGCAGCGGCTTTCTCGAAAGTATACTTAGATATTGTTTCTGAAATTATCTAAATAGATGTGTGGAATGCCGATAAAGAGCAAGGAATCAGATCAAACTCAGTGTACAATTCCATAAACTCGTCTGGGCGTTCCTTAGCTCTCCACTTCATATAATATATACCTGAGCGAAATATGACTTGATCCTGCCGCTAAAGACTATGTTACCATATTTCCCGTTATTAAAAATTCCAGACACACGTTCCTTTCATGCCAACATATGTTTGTAGGATACAATAGAACAATAAAAAGCTCAGCAATAAGGAATGTAATTTCAAAATGTGAATGCAACAATTGTTTCTTCTTCGAAACATGCCTACAAATGGCGCCCCTACTACGCTTTCTGCCTTACTGAACTG